CAAGTACTCCATGACCACATCCATTTAACCCAAATAAGTACATTTATTCTTGATAATATAAGCTCGAGGTTCCAAATCGAGCTTTCTAATCCCTCTAGGTTTTTTAATGCCAAAATTGTTATCACATAATACATATATATCTGCAGAAGACATAATCTGGATGGTACAAAGTGGAAATTATACATATCGATCTTGTTTCATATTTTTCATCATTGAATCAGATGAATGCAGACAGTCACCGTAAACAGCAGAATGAGCAGCCTGAACCACAACTAAAAACTTGAGATCCCCGTCTAATATATTGCCTGCCTCATTGTCATCCTAGACCAATATCATTTAGGGTGCGTTTGGTATCCCATAGAATTGGGGTTTAGAATTGGAATTGGAACCCCAATTCTAATTCTTGTGTTTGGACGCTGCATTTTCCATAGAATCAGCATTGAATTCTAATTCCAAGAGGTTCCAATTCCACAATCTTAATTCTTTGCCGGACCAAAAGAATTCTAATTCCAATTCCACAGCTGAATTCCTAATCGGGTCGACACGCGGGTCTTCTTCTAGTAAAAACTCAAAAATGGGTCAACAATAAAACGGATGGAAAAAACGCAAACCTCTCTCCTTCCCTTTCAATTATCGATGGCCATATCAGAAGCTCTGATGGAGCATTCTTCGTCGCCGCCGCCGCCTCCTCCTCCAATTACGCTGAGATAGAGGCACTTTTGCTGCCGCCTCCACCCCTCCATGCCCCACTCCCTGCCTTTTGCACAACTCAAGTTGAAATTTTGGGGTTCCAATTAGTTTCTATTAGTCTTTTCCTTCCCCTCTTTGTGTTGACTTGTGCCTCCACCTCCGCTGGCCTGGTGTTGCCCACCTTTGTCGTCACCGCGCATTCTCTCATCCTTCCTCTCCTGGATCGCTAATTCCTCTCTCCCTACTATTCCAGATTTTCCAGATAGATTTAGAGCTTACGAAGGTAACATCAAAATTTAATTTTTGCCAATTAAACATTTTTTTAGGGGGTTTTTTTTTTGATAATTTGTGGTATTGATTCTATACGGTTATTATTATTATTTTAAGCTTATAATTTACACTGTTATGTGAACAAAAGAACAAGTTGGTCTTTGGTTTCGAGTGTCTTGTTTGTTTGAGTCTTAGTTAATCAGTCAAAGTTTGGCTTGGAACCTTTTCGGAATAATGCCTGAATGTTTAGGATTTGAGAGTACTTATGTACAAGTTAGCTGCTAAAATTTGTCAGTTTACCTTGCAATTAAATAAATGTAGAAAGTAGAAGGTGATGCTGATGTTGTGGAAAAAATCTATTATAGTGAATTATATCTCATCCAATATATTTGTGTGTTTACGTCTTTCAATTTGATTATTGTTGCTCTAAACATTTCTTTCTTTCTCTTACATGTGGAGTTGCAGAAGAAATTTATATTGATGTTTGTACTTCTAAGAATCAAGATTGCTTCTTTGAACTGTAAAATGATCTGCTTACTGCATTTCTAATATGAGGCTTTTGGAAAAACCAAGAGGTCTAAGAATTTAACCAGTAGTTGTGTTCAATGCGGATGATACTAAAAGGCAATTATTGCAAGTTATTGATGTACTGGCAGCTATTCGGGATTTAAAAAATGACTATCCAACAACTTATAAGGTTTTCTATCGTTTCAGGGGAAAAAAAACAACTTATAAGGGAAATAGATTAGTAAAACAAAAAGAGATAGTGTATGGACAATTAGCCTGTGAAAGGTCTTGGATTTTGAACTACAATATTCATTATCAAAAAGTTAAAAGTAAACTAATAATACTTTTGAACTACAATTAGCCTGTAATATGAGGCTTTTGGAAAAACCACCTTTGGTACTCTTGGTAGTGAAGCACCTTTCTTGCCTTTATTTCTGTGTTATCCACAATAATCTGCACTGTCGCTCTAGTATGTTTTTCACTGCATTCCACATCTTCCACCATTGGTACTCTTGGTGATGGTGTACTTATGTCCAGAGTACCCCATTGATCAGAGAGCACTCTGCAGAAATCATCTAATTCCTGCATCTTCGGACAGCTATTGCTGCTAGAGAAAAAGGGATTGACAAAAGGGGCTTTAGGCAGCTTTTGATACCTTCCAAAGAGAAAAGACTTTTAATCTCTGTTTACCATAGTGCAGTAGAGCTTATTAAAGCATATGATTAAAAATTCAAGTACGGACATCCTTTTCTTATGCATTATTTTGCATGGAACTTGGCATGATTTGGGATATTTGCAGTGATAGGTATAGCTGTAATTTTTGTTTGAGAGTTTTCCAATAGCTAATTTGGTCTTTTGAATTAATAGCTAGTTTGGCATGATTTGGTCTTTTGACTTACCTTTTCTTATTGTTGTCATGATTTTGAATTGCAGAATTTGGATATTGACATGGATAAAGAAGGAGACGAGCAAAAAGCAAAAAAGAGAAAAGTGGTAGTTGCAAATTATATGGTAACAATAGCTACATTAGTAGTTTGGTGGCATGAGAAACATATAGTAAAGGAGCCTTACTTGGACTTTAAAGTAGCACGTGAAATATATCTAAGGCGTCTTTACTATGGAAACAATAGAGTTTGTGTAGAGCAACTTAGACTCAATAAACATTGTTTTACTGTTTTATGTACAAATTTAAGAGAGCATTGTGGGTTGACGGATACTAGAAATATTACTGTTGAAGAGGCAGTTGCAATGTTTCTCTATGTTCTTGCTCATAATTTTAAGAATCGCATTGTCAATTTTAATTTCATAAGATCAGGTGAGACAGTTAGTCGATACTTTAATATAGTTCTACGTGCTATCATAAAATTGGGGAGACACTATCTTATCCAGCCTGAATCGGAAATGGAAGGTTACGAGCATGAAAAGTGGGAATGGTTTCAGGTAATCAATATTTTTTGATATTTATTAATGAAGATAATATTTACAAGATTCATCAACTTATGATATTTTGTTTATAATACAGGATTGTCTTGGAGCGTTAGACGGTACTTATGTTAAAGTACATGTTCTTCTTAGAGATCAAGGAAGATATAGGAATAGGAAGAATGAGATAGCAACAAATGTTTTAGGTGTATGCTCCCGTGACATGAGATTTACATATGTATTGCCTGGATGGGAAGGTTCTGCAGCAGATGGTAGAGTTCTACGGGATGCGTTAGTTAGATCAGATCCATTAATTGTTCCCAAGGGTATGTGACAATTAGATATCAAGTGTTTTTTTTTCTTTTAACTATAAATGAGTAATAATTTGTTGTCTAACATTACAGGCAAGTACTTTCTTGTTGATGCGGGTTATGCAAATAGCTCCGATTTCTTAGCTCCATATAGGGGAGTTAGATATCATCTTAGCGAGTGGTCTGCTAGTGGGAGCAAGCCTCAAAATTTTAAAGAGTTATTCAACCTTCGACATTCAATTGCTCGAAATGTGATTGAAAGGACATTTGGTTTGTTCAAGAAGCGGTGGGCCATTTTGAGAGATGCATCTTTTTTTGATGTTAAGACTCATGTCATGATAATTAATGCATGTGCCATCTTTCACAATCTTATTCGAGTAGAACAACCAAATGACCCTTACTTGGATGAAGTTGATGCTGAGATGCGAATAGTACAACATGAGGTTGATGATGAAGATGAAATGGAAGATGAAGATGAGGAAAATGGAATGGAAGATGATGGTCCAAATAATGATGGTGGTGTAAATGCTGTTAACGAGAATCGAATTCGAACAGTACAACCAACTAGCGAGTGGACACAATTTAGGAATGCTTTAGCACGAGCAATGTTTATTGACTATCAAATTAGACAAGACCATCATGGAAGTTGAAATTTGATAGGAATTTATTCGAACTTAATTTCATATTAGAATGGCCATTTATTGAAAAATAGTAGCAATGTATAATTGTGCTTTTCTTTCTCTTTTTTTTTTTTGGCTAAAAACACTTTGTTTGCGTATTCCTCTATTTCTTGTATTCCTATATTGAAATTTCTTGTAAGATACAAAACTCAAATATTTATAATAGGTACAAGTTATGACTTTCCTCCCAATTCATATCATAGAGTAGGCTTTTGATTTTCTAAAATTTAAAGTTCTTAACTTTAAAAACGTATCAAGGTTTTAACTTGATAAATATTAACTACCTTTTAAGTTAGAATATACAATTATTTTTTATTTAATATAATTTAATTTTTTTTTAAAAAAAGAATTTTTTATTTTTGCAAAAAAGGAACTAATTTTTTTTCTTTTAAAGCTTTATTAACAATTAGTTAAATGCAAGAAAAAATAAATTATTAAAGGTACTAATTGGTTTTTTCCTTAAAGCTTTAGTAACAATTAGCTAAATGTTAAAAAATTATTATATAGTAAAAAAAAGAAATTTTTTATGTAAGGAAATATTGGTTGGAAACAATTCTAATTCCTAATGAATTCTTCTCTCATACAAACAAAGAATTTGGAATTTCAAATAAATTCCATATCAATTCTATGCATTTCCCAAACGAAAGAATTGAAATGACTTGGAATTCCAATTCATAGAATTCCAATTCTATAGAATTTCAATTCTAATTCAATTCTAATTCTGTAGAACCAAACGTACCCTCAAGGTTTTCCTTTTCGAATGGGTTTTTATATAGAAACTCAAGAAAATAAGCATTAGGAAACTCGGCAACACGGTAAGTTTCACTGCGAATGATACATTTTCCTCTTTTAACTTTATATTATTTCTGTAATAAGACCTTGAACCCAATATATTTCAGTGAAAAAAAATCTTTCTTAATATGTGATGGTTTCTCAAATCAAAGTACAATTCTTTATCTATATATATCCCCACAATATGATATTTAACCAAGTCCTAGAAATTCTATCCCAATAAACCTCCTAAACCTCTCCAGCTTTTCAACAGAATCACGAAATTACTGTGATATCTACAGAAAAAAGATTACGTTGCTAAGCAATACATATATATATGTCCGGGAAGATGTTTAACGCTCACTTGGCTTCTCAGCCGTCGTTTCAACAGCGCGACAATCATTTTTCTCAAGGGTTAAGAGTTCTAGCCATTGATGATAATGTCGTCTGCCTCAAAGTGCTCGCTTTTGAACTTCAGAAATGTGGCTATCAAGGTCTGCTGTAGTTTAAACTTGCATTACAAGGCAGTACGAGTTTTACATGCATGAGGGATCCTTTTATTTATTTTCCCTTGCCCTACCTCTTTTTCTTCTGGTCTCGTGAGGAGAGGGGATTTTTTTTTTTTTTGTTTACTTTCTTTTTTCTCTGGTTTCGTGAGAGAAGAGGGGTGAATTTTTTTATTTTTACTAGGGAAATTCTAGTTTTTGGGCGGGGTCTGGCGAGAAAAGGAAGTTGGTTGAGTTATTAGGGGTTTTATGTTTTCTTGTGTTTTAGGCTAGGAATAGCAAACGAGGGCGTAGGGTTTTGCGAGGCGAAAATTCAGGGTTTTTTTTTTCTTAAGAAAAAAATCTTAATGGTTATTTGCTCTAGCAAGTCTTAAATTTAAGAGAAGTCAAAACTCATAGATTCCTTGATATTATTCTGCAATTTTAGAAATTTACTTCCCCTTACTTCCTTTCCTACTTTTAATGTGTGTATTTGTAGGTACCTCTTCTATATATTCATTGTTGAGTTGGCGCTTACATTTTTGGTCCTAGCGATAGAGAACATGATATCCGTTACATAAATTAGAGCAGACTCGAATCTGATTATTTGCTGATTTTTTTTTTCCCACTTCCATGATGACGAGTATTTGATGATTTGCAGTTACAGCCACCACAAAAGCAGCCGAAGCTATTGAGATGTTGAGGAAGAACAAAGATAGCTATGATATCGTAATTACAGATGTCATGCGGTCTGACATGGATGTTTTCAAACTTCTGGAGATCATAGGCCTGGAGATGGACATCCCCGTTATAAGTGATGAGCCAACCTCGATCTTCTCCATAAGATTTGTGTTCAGTAGTAGTCTCAAATTAGTCATAGGAATCATGCAGTTTGATTAATGCCTTTTTTAAACAAATTAGAACTCATTTAATCTCTGTATATTGAATTGATTGCAGTGACATCGGCAAATAATGACTTGGAAGTCATCGAAAAGGGTGTTATGCATGGCGCACGCGACTACCTGGTAAAGCCTGTTGGGCCTGAAATCCTCAAAAATATTTGGCAGCATGTGATAAGAAAAACAACGTATAATCCTCTACCAGCACAAAGAATCGAAGCAAATAGGGCAATTAGGATACCGGCTCAACAAATTGAAGCAAATATGGCAAGTCGGGTACCAGCTCAAAAAATGGAAGCGGATAGGGCAATCAGAAGAAGTGCTAGAGTGCTCCACAGAAAGAATCACACCGTGGAAGATGGTCAAGCTGTTCAATCCCATGATGCACCACCCCTCCTGGAGCATAAGAAGGCCAGAGTCACCTGGACACCGGAATTACATGCAAAGTTTGCGGCTGCTGTGCAACAACTAGGTCAAGAGGGTAAGTGTTGTTTCCTAGTACATATCGAGACACGCATCTCATTATACTTCTGAAATTTACATCCATCATCATTGTATTTGCCTTGAAAATTTGGTGAGAGTTTGTCATATTTATAGAGAGGACTGTGTATGTGATCTCATAAAATCTTAGGCGTAATTTATTCCATCCGCTTTCGCTCGCTCGTCCAGATAATTCTCTTGATGTCTATTAGGCAGAGTTATCTATGTTTGAAGGCATGCATGGTTTTGGCATTCTAAAGATAATAGGCAGCGATATAGCCTTAACTAAGCGATGAAAGATGGATGACGAGAACGTGTTATTTTTGCATACGTAAGATGTTTCAAGGGACAAAAATGATACTCCATGTTTAGATTAGGAGTCCTGTCGTTTAATTCTGTATTTGCACTCTGTCCTCTGCTGCAGCGGTTCCAAAGAAGGTTCTTGAACTCATGAATGAGCCCCACCTAACCAGAGGAAACGTAGCAAGTCACCTTCAAGTAAGTTTGGCATTTGTTCTTATCCCTTGAACTTTTGGAATTTACTTTGAAATTTAAAGAATGTAATTATTATGTGAGCTAATTGCATGTTATATAATCAATATTGTTCATACTCCTTCCTCAAAGTATCAAAAAGTGTAGTACTGAAAAATTTATGATATTCTGCAATGACAACAGCTTACAACTACTCCTTGACTTCCAGAAATACAGGAAAGCGGCTCTAAAGCAAAAGGAAGACGCAAGGCAGGAGATTGAGTATCATTGTGATGCAAACATGAGGAGGCATTTGGATGATGCTAATATCCGGGCATCATCTTCTCAGAATCAACGTTTTCATGCAGTGAATCACTCCAATAGTTCTGCTGCCTATGGGAGATACAATTTAAGAAGTCAGAATAATCCTTCGCTTCATGACTCTTAATCACCTGTCTGATCTTTTTCTCCAACAAAATGTTGGTCTAGTATACAGATAGAAACAAGCATAGAAGTCCACTAATAACACATTCCGGGAATAATAAAACCAAATCAATGGAGAAAGCTTGTCACATTGATTTATTTTCCAAGTAGATTGACAGGTGTCGAGCTCGTGCAATAACAAATACCTACTCGAGAAAAATACAAATTTTCTATGTATAGTAATGAATAGGGTCGAATCTACAGAGACCGGAAAAAATTTGATTCTTTTCAAGTTCGGGACACGGGGGATTTTTATCGGAATAAAAATAGGGACAATTAAACAATTCAACCAAAACGAATAATTAACTAGTACGAAAGTAAACAGGAATTAAATCAATAATAGACAAATTCTAACCAAGGATACAACTACGCAGACACAGTCCATTCATCCGATCATTGATAGAAAGGGGGTTCACTTAATTTTATTAACAGGTTAGTTATAGTCGCCAATAAACTCTGACAACCTGCTTTTCATTAATTTATTGATAACCAAAGTACGACCGTTGATTACTCCTAACCAGAAAACACTCGTAGGTACGACTGTAGGAATTAATTTTCTAGTTGCCTTAAAAACTAGAAAAATCTAACCCGAATCAATAACACGCTACGAGGGTTATTTAAAGCAGATTGTACGTTCCCCTAGTGTGTGAAAACACTAGTTGTCACTGATATTAATCGATTAAACAATTACGAATTTAATTGATTAATTTGATAGGAGATTAATAAGTCAAATTGCACATCGGGCCCTTGATATCATTAACAAAATAATTCCATGAAAATTCAAATAGAAAACATGCAAATATTAATAAATTAAAGAACACATGAAAATTAATTCGATCTCACAGATATTTGAAACTTCGTCGTCGCGTTGATCCTTGACTAGATGAGAAGATTAGCCACGCCTCATAAGAAAATTCCCACACAATTTAATTGAATTCAAAGGCATAAGTCTCTTGCTAGTAATCTAGAATGAGAGTTTGAGTCTCCGTAATCTCCCTGGAAGAGAAACTAGTCTAATGCAAGAAGCACTAGTCTTATGGAAGAGACGAAAACATAAAGCAAGCCAAATGAAGAAAACTACACGCCACAAAAGAATGAACCAGTTCCTATTCTAAACAAAGGACTACCTATATTCTACTCCGTGCTCTCCTAGGAGCAAAACTAGTCTAATAGGAAAATGTTATCTAATTGGAGCACTAGTCTCATAGGAGAAACTAATCTTGTGGACGAAAGTGAAAAGTCCTATAATCATCAAAGCCAACCCACGGCTTATGAATAACATTCCCAAAAGAAGAACCAAATGGCTAAAGCAATCCACTCCCTATCCTACGCGGCCCCCGCTAGATAATGAAAGAAAACAACATCCCAATAAATTCCAGCACAATCATCAATTCCACTGCAATCATGCAAATGAAGGAGTCCGCTACAATCATCAATTCCAGTACAAATACACCCGAGGAGCCTGGCTTGTATTTCTTTTAGAAACTTCCCACGTGTGGAGTATTTGTTGCAAGAAGATCTCCCTTTTCTGCTTCACTTCCTGAAGTTGAGTCCAGATGCCAAATATAAGTATATGTTAACAATTAAAACAATATTTGGCAGGAACAAAGAGAAAAATTAATAATAAAATTGTTAACAATTAACACCCTATCATAGGTTCCAAACAAGGACTATCAAATCATGGACAAAATGGAGCTTGCGATGCTGGTCGGGAAGGGGCCGCTATTAACTAGTCTTGCTTTATTCCTTCATTGACTTTAATTCCAGTTTCCATTAGTATATATGTGGATGGAGAAGAAACAAACCCAAATCTAGACTTGTCCCCATTTGAAGTCTCCTTTGAAAGTGAATGGCATGCTTTTTGTTGGTTTTTTGGGGTATAAACTAAGAAACAACATCTTTGTGTTGGAAAAAAAAAGGTTCTAAGAGACTTGTATTGAAGTTGGAAAATAAGCTTATGTTATTCATTAATCAACTCACCATTTAAAGTGATTACATGAAATAAACTAGTAAAATATCCAACTAACAATTATCCTAAAAATCTCAACAAAATATAATCTTCTTCTACTAGCAAATCTTAGCTAAAATATTTGTTAACAAACCAACATGATCTTTGGTTAACAAATATCCTTGTTTTTCTAATAACAAAATTATTTTGATATCAAACTCAACTTGATAAAATCTGTAGGAAAAGTTGGCATATCTCAACACTCCTTCTTGTCACTTTTGCTATAGATTTTCAATTCTCTTCTCAAATCTTTGAACCTTGTTTTGGAGAAGGCTTTCATAAAAATATCTGCAATCTCGTCATCTGTCTTGCAATGTTTTTGAGCCAGACATCAAATAAAGATGATTTTTTTTTATATTTCTAAATAATATTCTCATAAGTTCAAAGTGGAACATCTTTTGATGATATTTGAATCTATACAAAAAATATGAAATTCTGCATGGTTTTCATTTGTCATCACCATCAAAATCTGTAGACTCAAAACAAAAATATTAAAATCTTGATAAATATTAGAAATCAATTTGATACCTCCTGACTTATCAATAATCTCCTCTTGAATTTTTTCGCGATCTGAATTCTTGATTTCATCATCATGTTCCACTTTAGAATTGTCAAAATCTGACCAATTCATAGTAAAATTTTTTCTCTTTATGTTAATTGAGAATAAGTTATTCTCAATCAAATCATTAGCCATTATCATTGTGAAAACGGCATCAAAAACTAATATGTGAATGCTGGCTTTGAATCTCTGTCTAACTACAACTCTGTGGTTTCTAATTTGTGTATCCATCAGCTCTTCAAATACTAGCGAAACAAAATTTGTCTCTACCATATCCAGTAGATCATTGATTACCAAATATGTCCAAAATTTTGTGGCCCAAATTTGGTAAGTTTCACTACTAAAAGTTGAAACATTTGACAAAAAGTTCTTTCCTATCATGGTTTTTAACTTATAAACGATCCTCTCCAGTGCACTCACTCTGAAAAAAAAAAAAAAAGACTCAGGCCCTTAAGATATAGGCTCTTGATACCACTTTGTTGATTTTTTGAGGTGTAAACTAAGAAACAACACCTTAGTGTTACAAAAAAAAAATGCTTATAAGAAACTTATATTAAAACTAGAAAATGAGCTTATGTTATTCATTAATCAACTCACTATTTATAGTGATTACATGAAACAAACTAGCAAAATATCTAACTAACAATTATCCTAAAAATCTCAACAAAATATAATCATCTTCTACTAGCAAATCTTAGCTAAAATATTTGTTAACAAACCAACATGATCTTTGGTTAACAAATACTTTGTTTTTCTAATAACTAAATTATTTTGATATCAAACTCAACTTGATAAAATCTGTAGGAAAAGCTGGCATATCTCAACACTTTTCCTATTCCAATTTTATGGTAGGGAATTGTTAATTTTCTGCCTTTTGTCAGTAGATTATTTAAATTAAAAGGTAGCCAAGAACTCAGTCAGAATTAAAAGAAGGAAAAAGAAAAGCAAAATAAAACCTCAGATGCAATGTTCCCTATAACTGAAAGTCCAAATGCGATGTAGATGACACCTAGGGAATAATGTACATCTCTCTCTGACCTCCAAAATAAATCAAGCTTACAAATTATACATCAATATCTGTTTGCATTAGCCAAAAGCATTGTTTCTGATACGATCAAGACCTGACCGTATGCTGCAAAAAATAGCAGGTTATAAGCTCAATTGAATGAGGAAATATCACTTTCAGCATTGAGAAGTAAAATTTGCACATAAAGGATAAATACTTACTGTCATCAGAAATTGAAATTGATGCTTGATCTTTATTAGTTCTATTAAAACATCTTTCATACCGATCCTTTCTCTTGGACATTCTCTAGAGCAGTTTAAAGCCAATTTCATAATCAATGTAACACACTTCAGCTTGTCAGTGAAATGTTCATCCTCTGGCCGTATCAAGTTTGCATCAACGACCTGAAGTGCATCAGGAAGAGAATCTTCTACCCAGCTGTTAAGGCTTAAATCTCCAGAAAACATTTCATCACTAGGCCTCATCCTTGAAAAAACTTCCATCAAAACTATTCCAAAACTATATACATCAATTCTTGTCGAAACTATCCCCTCTGATCCATACTCTGTAATGAAAATTACAATAGTCAAAATAATAGAATTGGTTAAAAGATTAACAACAGATAAACAACATCGTAGAAGTAAAGAAAATGGAGACAGCAAAAGCTAAATGCTTAACCTGGTGCAATGTATCCCAATGTTGCGAGGGTGTGGGTATGCAAAATACTTTCTCCTTCGCCAAACATTTTTGCTATGCCAAAATCACTTACATGGGCAACCGTATCTTCATCAAGCAAGGTAAGATGTCTTTAATGTTTTTTTTTTCTTTTTAGTTTTTATTCTTTTTTTTAGTAACAATTAATTCCCTTCTTTTTTCACTTCATAAATTAACCATTTATAATATATTTAATTTTAATATTTCTCTTACAATTAGTGCATTAAAATTTATAAAATTGCATTTTAAGTTCTTTTATAAAAATCTTATAGGGAAAAGGATGGGTTAGGTGGCATAGAAGAAGTGAGATGTCTTGAAATTGAGAGCCCCCCCCCCCAACAGCCAATCCCCCGGGCTTACAATTCAAAACTTTATTTTATAACATTTTTTGTTCAAAAAATAAAAATTATAGAACATAAAAAAGTGCCCCTACAAATGCATGGAAAAGAAACTAGTATATATAATAGTTTGGTATTCAATTCTTATTTTGGTTGGTAATTGACATGGCTACTCTCACATTTTGTTCTGCTAATACTCTGTCTTGTGGCCTTAAGGACATATATGCTTTACTAAAATTTGGACAAATTTTTACTTTTCTATAATTCTATCCTTCATTTTTTGGTAAATTTGAATTAGTGTATTAATATCCTACTTAATACATGCTTACACTGATTGTGA